GCTAATTGGCCAATTATAATGCATGAAGGGTCATTACTCAATAGAGTAGTGCAAGTCTGATATGATCGTCAATGGGTTTCTAGTTTTAGGACAGGCTTCTGGACTTAATTCTTACCCTCAAATTCCTATGTCATAGAGTCAAATCTTTTATTCTTTGGTGGATTTGATCAATAATTGTCTCCACCACAAAAAAGATCAATGAGCTGCTTTTGTGGAAACTATGGTAGGCATCATTTTTTGTGGTCATGTATTNGATCAATGGGCTGCTTTTGTGGAAACTATGGTAGGCATCATTTTTTGTGGTCATGTATTTGCTAACATGCAAATCTGTACCAATTGTAAGTTCTCATCTATATATCGACACATGATATGTTCAAGTTCGAAAATTAAATATTTCAAAGTGGCAATAAGGTTATCTACCACTTATATCTCTCAATCCCTGCAATACATGACAAACTTGTACATCGGTTTCCCATCCTTTTGTTGAAATAGGTGACTGAATTCCTAAGTTTCATAATAAGTGCTGATGACTGCTAATGATAACAAAACAACTGAAGATAAATTTCCTTAAAATTTGCATATCTATTTACATCAATAAAATGAAGGAATAAAGTTAAGCGTAATGATATTGGGACCTAAAAATTTGATCTAATTTGTCAACATAATAATGTCTATGGGTCGTTCAGTGGGGTACTGGCCGAACTTCTCATCTTGAAGTTAGAAGTTTGAGTCTTAAAGTCCTCATTGAGGCTCGGTAGTTGACTAGTATACTAACCTAGCTAGGTTCGTTCCTGGTCAGCGTAACGGGCGCGGTCAGGGACCTCATGATCTCACCAGTGAGAGTCAATCAAGATGTTCTATGGACATTCTCATTTACCTCCACCCCTTTTTTAACTAAAAAAAAAAAGTCATAGAGTTTCAATAAAAAAGTTCAAGAATTACAGTAAGAATAACATTATTAAGTCAATAAATTAAATCAATTTTTATAGTTCTCAATAACAATATTACTCCAGAGTTGAACGTGTCTGCCTTGCAAAAATAATTATTATAGAACGACCAAAAGGAGCACAAACTTGAACCAAGAAAAGGAATACATCCATAAAAAATAAATACATATGGACTTGAATTAATTTTTTAGTCTTGCATTAATTAACAATTTTTTTTGGACGTGAACTATAGCAAAAGTTCATAGCCAATTTTTAGAAATTACTTAAAATGGGTGTTGGACTCAAAATTATTTTTAATCAATTTTGAGTCAAAATTAAAGTTGGATCCACTCATTATTTGGGGTCAAAAGCTTTTTTTGGATGATGTCTTAAGTAATTTTCTAACACTACAACTAAAATCTATCCCGATCAATAAAATTTTTGACGGTACTCATTTGTCGCACCCTTAAACTCTTTAATTGTATCAATTGAGCTACTGAACTCTTTAATTATGTCAATTTAACCATTTTATTTGCCTCTATTAAATTTTNACTACTGAACTCTTTAATTATGTCAATTTAACCATTTTATTTGCCTCTGTTAAATTTTCTAACGAAAAGTGACGAACACAAATGAGTTGCAACCTAGTCACGTGACTGGCAAACTCTGCTACTTTCCGTTAAAAAATTTGACGAAGGTAAACAAAAGGGCTCAATTAAGACAATTAAAGAGTTTAGAGCCACAATTACACAAAAAAAAAGTTTATAAATTNCAAACTCTGCTACTTTCCGTTAAAAAATTTGACGAAGGTAAACAAAAGGGCTCAATTAAGACAATTAAAGAGTTTAGAGCCACAATTACACAAAAAAAAAGTTTATAAATTTAACAGAAGTGTCATAGTTTGAAGGTCATGTGTGTAGGATACTCAAAAAGCTAAATGACATTTAATAACCAAACGGGATATACTAATCAAGTGGACAAGGCTCCACTTAGGGACAAAGACATTTGCCAGAATAAGTTTTATGACCAAAAACAAAAGTTGTTGCAATATTCTGCTACAAATGTGACTTGTACCACGACCATTGACCAATACACTGCAAGAAGATTAATTATAATTTATTTTTAATCATTACATCATATTATAAGCGAAAGAGTAAGTGGACTTGAAATATTACATTCATTTTTACAATGGCTAGTACAATATAGTTTTTAGATTTTATAAACCAGATTAATGATTACATGGTATACAATTGATTTTCATAGTTCTATACAAATAAAAATTTGACATTAACGCTAACATTCGATTGGCCTCATTGAATAAAAATTTTGGTTGTGCTACGATTTCTATTTGGCTCTCCTTGTAATGAAATTCTGGTTCCGTCCGTGCACATGGCAGACTATTTATGTGACTCAATTGTGTTCCGTGGCCTCTTTCAATTAACTATATGTTATTGTTTTAATTGTTTTAATAGATTTTCTTTCTTTCCTCTTTCTCTTCTTTACCCTCCGCATAAATTGGACCGATCACAAAATAGAGAAACACAACCATCTTCACCTTCATATTTGTGGACTTGAATCTCTTTTCTATATCTACAACTTATGTCTCTCAACCTTGCAATAATGAAAATCTTGTACATCAGTTTTCCAACTTAAGGTTCATGATAAGTGCCGATGATTACTAATGATAACCAAACAATGGAAAATCAATTTCCTTAAAATTTCCATATCTATTTACAGGGGTGGAGGCAAAAAATTATGTCAGGGTGGGCACAAATATTTCTACAAATTATTTTTTTTTCTTACAATTGATAGAAATAGGACAATAATTTATTTAATTACATCCTATTTAATACTTAAAAGTTCATTAAATCCACCATACCGAAATTTGGCAAGCCTAATATATACAAACGATAATATTTTTTTTACAAAATATTAACTAATTAAAATCATTTAGAATTTGACTTCGGTGAATTTTTGTACTTTTAAAATGTTGCATAATAATTTTAGGGTTAATTGCACTGNAATGATAACCAAACAATGGAAAATCAATTTCCTTAAAATTTCCATATCTATTTATGGGGCGGAGGCAAAAAATTATGTCAGGGTGGGCACAAATATTTCCACAAATAATTTTTTTTTCTTACAATTGATAGAAATAAGACAATAATTTATTTAATTACATCCTATTTAATACTTAAAAGTTCATTAAATCCACCATACCGAAATTTGGCAAGCCTAATATATACAAACGATAATATTTTTTTTTACAAAATATTAACTAATTAAAATCATTTAGAATTTGACTTCGGTGAATTTTTGTACTTTTAAAATGTTGCATAATAATTTTAGGGTTAATTGCACTTGAGGTCCTCNCTTAAAAGTTCATTAAATCCACCATACCGAAATTTGGCAAGTCTAGTATATACAAACGATAATATTTTTTTTACAAAATATTAACTAATTAAAATCATTTAGAATTTGACTTCGGTGAATTTTTGTACTTTTAAAATGTTGCATAATAATTTTAGGGTTAATTGCACTTGAGGTCCTCAAAGTATAGAGTTTATCTCATTTTAGTCTCCAATGTTTCAATTGCATCATTTTGGTCCCTGAAGTATTAAATATGTTTTTATATGGTCCCTTAAGCAGACAGCGTTAAGATTGTTAACGATTTTTTATCATAAAATTATCACGTAATACTCAAATATAGACAAAAAAATAATTTAGATAACTCTTGACCAAATGTCTACTCAAATTTTGTTAAATAGCTATATAAATTACTCATTTTTAATCANGGAGGTCCTCAAAGTATATAGTTTATTTCATTTTAGTCTACAATGTTTCAATTGCATCATTTTGGTCCCTAAAGTATTAAATATGTTTTTATATGGTCCCTTAAGCAGACAGCGTTCAAATTGTTAACGATTTTTTATCATAAAATTATCACGTAATACTCAAATATAGACAAAAAAAATAATTTAGATAACTCTTAACCAAATGTCTACTCAAATTTTGTTAAATAGCTATATAAATTACTCATTTTTAATCATAGGCTATCCAAATTTTGGTTAAAAACTACTCATATTACACATTTTTTTGTCAAGAGCCACCTAAATTTTGTTTAAGAGCTATTAAAATTATTTTTTTTTGTCTATATTTAGGTATTATGTGACAAGTTTATGATAAACAATTGTCAGCAATCTGGACGATGTCTGCTTAAGGGACCATTTAGAAACATATTTAATAGTTCAAGGACCAAAATAAAGCAATTGAAACATTGGGGACAAAAATGAGACAAACCCCATATTTTGGGGACCTCTAGTGCTATTAACCCATAATTTTGTTATTCTTTAAATACATAATCATGTTATCACTCTGGTATTTATAAATTATTTGATTGATTATGCAGTTTAATGTACACTCTATAATTTTTACCATAATTAGTAAAAATAAATGTCAAAATCACAAGTAAACTAGCGAATATGTATATCATCATGTCTTTTTTAATCTTAGAAAATATAAAATAATTCTATTACATTCAAAATTTATTTATATNCGAATATGTATATCATCATGTCTTTTTTAATCTTAGAAAATATAAAATAATTCTATTACATTCAAAATTTATTTATATAGGTACATAACCAGTTCAAAATATGTCAAAAAAATCATATTCATTTGATATAAATATACACTAATTGATGTGCCAAAAAAATAGGGAGGACATGATTAAAATTATTCATTTGATATAAGTGTACATTAATATTTTTGTCTTTGATTTTGGGTGGACACAAATAATATATTGTACAAATATACAACATACATACCTAANCCAAAATAAATAGGGAGGACATAATTAAAATTATTCATTTGATATAAGTGTACATTAATATTTTTGTCTTTGATTTTAGGTAGGCACAAATAATATATTATACAAATATATAATATACACATCTAAGTAATTAAAAAATAAAAAATTTGAGGGGGGTACTTGCCCACCCTGAACAGGGCTGCCTCCGCCCTTGGACATACAAAATATTAGCTGCCTGAAAACAATACCGGATTACGTAAATTCTAATGGAAAAGAAAGCTCACATCATGACAAAGCTTAGGGTATTTCAGCATCTCCAAAGTTATAAGAGGGTTAACCATGTGAAGACCCATGTGCACCACCTGCAAGACAATATGATAAGAGACCATCCACCGATGCTGGTGCAAAAGTACAACATCAAGATATACCTGAGAAATATTTGTGCCATGGGTCTCAAGGGAATCTGATGAGAAGTCAACCTGCAAATTTCATTTTTCATCGACTGGGCTATTGCAAAGGCTAATATTAGCAAAATAAATAAATAGAAAAAATTCATTATCAAAAGAGAAGCTAAAAAAGTACCAGATCCTTTGAACAGAGATTTGCAAGGAGTTGTAGAAGAGCTCGCAAATCCCTATATTTTTCAGTATCTGCCTCAGTCTGTAAGCTGCTTGAAAGGCTAACTGATATCTGAGAAGGCAATGAAATAACAGAAGTCAACAGCCAATTACAGATATTAGAAAACAACCTTGGTAGAGTATCTCCCGGATGAGTAAAAACTCATCTNGGGGGGGGGGGGGGGGGGGGGGGGCACTTGCTCACCCTGGAATAGGGCTGCCTCCGTCCTTGGATAGAGACTATTACTATTATTTCTCTTTATGTTGTTTCAAGAACATTTTAGCTGATCAAGTGGAGATTATGTTATCTTTATATAACTATACGCCGAATATGTTAATAATAATAGAATGAAGGTCATTATGAGTTTTGTGCAGTTTTAGTCCTTAATCACTCCCAGTTATTTTTTTTTAAAAAAAAAATCGGGGCGTGACAACACGTGAGAGCCAATTACTCCATGAAATTCAACAATTGCTTCCCTTTCATCAAGATCCAAGAATTATTGGTGGCTTCATCAAGATACTTGCAACTATAGGCAGTATTTTTAGTTCATTTTGCTCCAACACAAGGACATTTTTGTACTCAAAAGATAATGGGTGTCTGTGTTTAAATTTTAATTTTGTGTAAAATTGATGAAATTAGTATAAGGGTGATGAAATTTATATTTGAATTAATGAAATTAAATGTCAATTTGATGAAATTAAAGTGGTATTAATTTGATGAAACTAAATTCAAAATTAAATAAATTGAAATGTGAATTTGACAAAATTAAATTTTAAAATATTAATTTTGTATTATATTGATGAAATTAGCATTACTGTAATAAAATTAATATTTGAATTAATAAAATTAAATATCAATTTGATGAAATTGAAGCTCAATTTGATGTTAATTTGATAAAACTAAATTATAAATTAAATAAATTGAATTTTAATTTAACAAGATTAAATTTTAAAATATTCTATGGAGAAATTTAGTATGAATCAGATGAAATTAAATATTGAATTGATTTTAAATTGATGAAATTAAGTTAGTGTGATAAAATTAATATTTGAATTAATGAAATTAAATGTCAATTTAATTAAAATAATTGAAGAGTCAACTTGAGGGTAAATTTGGTATTTCACTAGAAAAAAAAGCCATAACATGCGTCATTCTGTTACATGTCAGTAATGGTAGTGACTATAAGAGTATTAAGTGAAACTCGTGATAAATTAGAAGGGTGTGCAGTGATATTTCAAAAATCATAGGGGGTGTCCTCGTAATTAGGCCAATCTTGAGTGGGCGTAAGTGAAATTTACCCTATATTCAATAAAACTTTAAAATACACTTAATTTTGTATATATATTAATTTTGGGGTTAAACACGAATTGTGAATTCGGATTGGGGTTGAACTTGAGTATGACTTGAATTCAATTCAGGATGAAATTTTTTAGCTCAAGCTCAACCAAAATTTTAAAAACTTTAACTCAAACTCTATTTTTTTGAATTGAGTTCGGGTTGGCCCAAGTTATTATTGAGGAATCTCCCCAAGTTATTTTGTAGTAGATAATTACATGGTGAAATTACAATATCAAAAAATTATAATATATTTCTTATCAAAGGATAATATGTGTAAAATATTCGCTGTTTTTATAATCAATGATTAAAGTTTATTCAATTCAAAATTCACATTTACAAATTATTTTCAATGTATATACAATATGAAAAACTTCATATTTCAACATCACGATATTATTTTGGGGAAATCTCATAAATATCTGTAAACTATGTACCCTCTCAACTATGACTTTTAAACGCATAAAAGATTCAAATATTCTCAGTTTGTCCCTCAAATGATAAATTTTTTCGTATTACCCTCTCAAATAATAGAAAACATTACAATGTGATCCATTATCTTATTTTCGTTTGGTCGTCCGTCTGTTTTGTAATTTCTGATTGGTTGACTTGACACAAAATAGAAGTGCACTATTGATGTATCATTTGCATTAAGAAGTCAATAACATTTGATATTTTGTAGCTGCACATTTTTTGGTTTTGTAGTAAAAAAAATTTCTGACAGGAGGTCGCAATCAAACAAATGGTTCTTCCAAATGAGACTTCCTGAACACAATTGCACCAATATAAGGTGGAAATACATCACTTGTGTCCGTGTGACCACCAAAACATTATTAAAATCATTGACTACTGCATTGATACCAATTACGGGTGCTGTTTTTGTCATTACCGACTTCATGACAAAAGGCTTGCATGGTATTATTTCTCTTCATGAGCTCATAGAGTAGCTTATAACAACTGTCCATTATCACAAAAGCTCCTGAATCTAAACTTAAGGATGATGATTATTGTAGAGGTGACATGTGGTCTCTATTATATTCATTGTGAAGTTAGGTCATCCATTGTTCATGCAGATTTCAAATCTGCTAATATTTTATTGGACAATGGTTATCACACAAGAATCGTTGATTTCGGGATCATTAAACTACTAGATAACTCGGAGCCATTTGTGACTTCATGTTTTATAGCTAGCCATGGATACATAGAACCAACATTCCTCGACTCTGGAAGACATACAAGAGGATCCGACATTTATGCATTAGGAGTGATACTATTTGAGTTGGTATCTAGAAATACATATATGTATTTTGAGTGAACTGTCATTATCCAACAGTCATATCACTAAAATATTTTAGCGCATGATAACATAATATTTAACTAGTGTTTATACCCCACTTTAAGTTATCTTTTTTAAGTGACAAGCCAACATTTGAGTAGATTTCAATTGCAACAAATGGTTTTGATGCCTCAATGCTTCTCGTTACAGGTGCATCTGGCAAAGCGTACAAAGGAAATTTTAAAAATATACAGGTGCATCTGGCAAAGTGTACAAAGGAAATTTTAAAAAATAGGTGCTACTTCCATAATAATGTTGTAATAGTCTATACTTTTTATGTTGGCATATCTAAATTTACTTCTCTTTTGGCTTGCCACCACCTTAGCACCTCATTTTGTCAATTTATTGATTTCTACCAGCATGTATGTATTATTCTAAATTGGAACTTCAACTTTCATCATGAGTCCTAAAGTGTGAGGCATGAAAAATGAAGTGAGGTCACTTCCATAATTTATCTCTACTTATTTTCTCCTGCAAAGTTTGGACCACGGTGTTTTAATTCTCTATAAACACAAGTGTTGTTTTGTTTTTTCCTCTGTAAAATTTTCTTCCTTTTTATGCATGTATGTTTGAAAGAGAATAAGCATTTTTTAAAATTATATCACTATAAAAAATGTTTTGCCTTCAAATTATTTGCCTACATGCTAACTGGTACTGCCACTTTGATGGTAAATCTTATCAAGTTATCTTCATTGAGCAATGCTATAGGATCTAATTATGGGACCTAATCATAGACCTAATTCAATATAGTCATTTGATTAGTTGTAAGTTGCAATTAGATAGAACTCACTTCCAATCCAAGGATTGCATTGGATTAGGTCCAAATAATAGTTTCATTCTTCATTTCTCTTTTATATTTTCTACAATTTAATCTATTTCTAAATTTCCAAATGTTTGTGCATCATAAAAGGTTGTGAATGGTGTTCTTGAGTCCAAATAACAATGCAATTTTCTTTTATTAATGATTTTTGTTCACTTCACAAGTGGTTGCCATTAAAAAAATCGATCTCCCAAACAAAAATTTTTCAAATTCACATGAATTCAATAATTTTTGACAAAAACTCATCCACTATCTTTCTTCCACCATCCAAATGTCATTGAAATGTTCAACTTACAACTGTTGTTTTGTAATCACCAAATCCATGGCTAATGGCACCCTCCATGGACATTTACATGGTATTCTCTCTTTTGTTCATCTCATTCATTAATTTAAAAATTTTTTTAATTAAATATGTTTTCTTGATATCATGTATGTAAGCAAGAAAACCATGAACCATGACTCTAAACATGAGACATAGGGTTGCTATGGGAGTTGCACATAGAGAAAACCACATTCGATATCCTATTGTTATTTTCGATTTAACACTATCTTTTGAATCGTATGTGTCAGACCAAGAATTGTAGACTTTGGCATTAGCAAACTTGCAAGCGTTAGAGGAAAAAAATGACACTGAAATGATTGAAGGAGGTTTTGGATATTTGAATCCAGTGACTTTTGCTCAAAAAGCACTTGGAAGGTGGTCACACATTTATGCTTTAAAGGTGGTTATTTTGGAGCTTGTCAGGCGACACATACAGACAAGAGTCTTGTTTTTTGGGTATTACCCTAATTATATATGCATATAAAATAGTATAAAATTTCATGTGTTTTAGACATATAATTGTAATATTGGTCTCACTTTTTTATTTTGAATTAATTTGTTATAGTCAAGAAAAATGATAATGAGCGGGGACTGTGAAAACCTCATTAATCTGACCTTGAGGTAAGATCCTAGATGAGACTCTATTATGTAGATTTGGCAGAGAGTTGCACACATCAAATTAATCTAGGCAAAAGGTCAAGCACAAGAGACCATATGATGTTTTTGTTTGAAAATTGATTTATTTCAAACAAGGAGAATTATGAATAACATGTTGGCGCATGCCTACACTTTGCACTAAAACATTAGCCAAACTCTTGAAAAATTCCGTGAGACACTTAGACATTAACAAACTCCCATAAAAATACTAAGTTAGTGTACCAAGCGAACTAGCACCACAAGAGTGTGGGAGAATGAAAGAAGTATATTTTTCAATAGAGCTTACAACTGGAAACTTGGTTGTATGCTGATGAGAAATCATCTTTATTTATAGTAGCCAGTCATTACAATATGTGGCTATTATCTACACAAGTGTCGTGCATATATGGTGTATGTAGAATGTTCTACACAAGTATTTAGAGTTCTTTGGAACCTTGTAGAAGGTAGAAGTAACAATGTGCTTTGATGAACTGATTGATTCGATCATGCAATCAGATGTTAGCCGATATTCAATCATCAAATTGAGAAAGTTGGCTAGGCAATGCATGCACCCAACTCTGAAGGAGAGGTTGGACAAGAAATTAGTACTAGACAGGTTGATCGTCATCCAACAAATAAAAACTAGTTTATTTCTCTTTTAAGCCTGTTCAAATGAAAAGGCAATGAAAAATTCCAAAACTCTATTCTTTGACTAATCTCTCTTCTGAATGATATGTTAGAAATATCAAACAAGGGATGTGTCGATATCTAATTTAGAAATAATATTAGGCACAACCAAGCACATGAGAGTCAATTACTCCAGCAAAGTCAAAAACTGCTTCCCTTTCAGCAAGGCTTGTCACTCTAAACCTTTCGCATTCGTATAAAGTTAGTCTGAAAATATAAGACATGTACATAGGGAAGGAACTAAGATTGTATTGTGTGGGGTGACAAATAAAAAAAGGGTCATGGTTAGAAAATTTATTTAATAAGATCATTCACTGTGTTATTGTTAATACCAAATATTTGCTTACAACAAATGTCTCAAAAAAATAAATAAATAAATATATATATATATATATATATTGTGATACAATCATTAATATTAGTTTGGATCACAAAAACTAAAAAATAATTTAAAATAATATCATGGTCTACTTATTTTCTCATTTATGACATCAAATAATCACTATGAATAAATTACCATTATAAATATTATTTTCTCGTTACCATCGTGAGTTGTGAGTTAGTGCATTGAAAGTGATATAAGTCATGCTTGTAACATAATTTGTAACGTATAAAATTGTTGAAAACCTAAGATAAGGTATAGAATTTTTGAAAACCTTAAGGGAGTATAAAGTATTTTCAACAATATGAGGGGGCATGGCCCCTCCACGTAGTTCCGTCACTACATGTATAGACATTCACCTAAAATCGATAAATCCTCTTTTGTACCAACTTGATATCCATAGTTCTGCAACAAATTAGAAACAATTAGTGGTATAATGCATTTTCCTCGAGGCCCGAGGATCATTTGCGGCTTCATCAAGATAGTTGCAACTATAGGATGTGCTTTTTGTTCATTTTGCTCTAACACATGGATATTTCTATACTCAAAAGACAATGGACGTTTGCGTTTGAGGTAGTGTGGAATCAATTCAACTAGTTACGTCGTTAATGTAAGATATTCAATAATTTAAGATCGAAGTCATAGGTTTTTTAGATACATAGATTAAAGTCATAGTTGAGGAGGTGTATTAGGGGTGTTTATCTAAATCCAAATATGAGGAGATGCCTTAAGGGTATTTATCTAAATCCAAACCCCATTTTCTTTTGGAATATCTTACCTTGTGTAAGGAGTCTATGGACTTGGTGGATGCATTAAATTAAAGAGAAATGAGACAAAAAATGGAGATCAATTAATGGGAGTCATATTTTTAGTCTCATTTTTCAGTCAGACTAACATTATTCTTGCACTAATGAAGCTAAAAAAAATATTTGCAATCTCTTTTTTTAAATGCATCCATTGCCTGTCCAATTGCTTCTGAATCAAGAAGTCTGCCAAAATTAAAATCAATAACTTCTACATGAGATCAATAATGTCACAGATTGAATAATTATTCATACTATTAATGAAAAAATGTTAGCAAAAATGGTGCACATTTTGCCTCTTAACAAGTAAGTACAATAAATCTTCAGCAACAACTTTTAAATCAAGTATAAAAATGCCTCATTTAGATTTATCCCTTGGTGCCTTAAATGTGTCCAACCGACCATGGGTATCTAAGTTCTTACCTTTGTGCTGTTTGGGTGATTGTGAATTTGATTACCGTTGATGGTTTAGCTTTAGAGACTTAGGGTGCAACTTGGGTGGGTTATTGGATCAATTCAGGTCCAATTCAAAACTTTCAACCCTATCCCAATCCGAGTTCTACTTCTAACTTAGGTATTGTCTAAGTTAATCTTGGGCTAATTCGAGTTGGTTTAGGTTCATTAATTCGGGCTCATGATTTGAGTTGAATTCAGGTCCGTGTTCAATTTCAAGTATGACATAATAGCTTGATCAACTTAAATTCAAAACAAATTCAATAAAAATCTAAAATACATTTAAATCAATAATATAAAACAGGGAGATTTCAACAAACAAATCCAACGGTTTCAAATAATTCATCCAACGATTATTAATATAATTTTCATTTCCTCCCAAATTCATCATTTTTCACCCACAATTTTTTTCAAAAAATTGACTTTCTCAGTCACTTCACGTATCAGTCAAGCCATCCTTCTGCCGCCTTGGACATCTCTTCTTTTTTTTTTCCTCCCTTCTGTCGGACATGCCTTCTTCTGTTTCTTCTTTTTTCTTTTCCACCCTCCGTTACTCCTTACCTCGCTCTCTCTCTCTCTCTCTCTCTCTCTGTGTGTGTGTGTTACGCTCCAAAGACACCACCACCACCGCCACTTCGTCAGCAACACCACCACCGTCTCTGTTGTCAGCACTTAGCCTCTCTCTCACTCTCTTTATCGCTTTCTCTGTTACGCCCCAACGACACCACCAGCAACACCACCACCACTGCCGCCACTGCTAACCCCTCTTAGGTATGCCTCCTCTTTCTTTCTCTCTTTCTCACACAGACAAACACAAATATTAACCCCCCATCCTACCTCCACCTCTTCTCTGCCCTCTTCTACTCAACATCACCCCCACCTCTTCTCTGCCCACTCTATGCTCTTGCTCACTTCTCTCTCTCACTTCACAATCACAGACACTTTATAGATTCACATTGCACACAGACACACCCACAACGCACAACACACAAATACACACTCATCACCCACACTCACCCACACACAAATCGCACACACATAAACAAACGCAATAGAGACAAACACCCGCACCCACTCACCCACACACACATCACAAACAACCACACACACCATTGTGGACACACACAAAACACAATATATATAGATTGAAATTTGTTGATTTGAACACCAAGTGCTTGTTGGAATGACCAAGAGAAATTTTGTATACTCTACCATTGTTTATTATTATTATGAATTTCCTGTGTACCTATTTTTTGGGGTGTAATGTGTTGAAATTATGTTTCTCTTGGATTTTAATTGATTCTTTCACTAAATTTTAATTGATTTACACTTTGTTTTATTTTTTCAATTTTACACTGTGTTATATCACATCCAAGCAAATAGTAGGATGATACTTAAGGAAGAGAAAGCAATGTTGATGGCCCAAGGTGTGATGATTCTATCTTTTTTGGAGATTTGTTAATGGAGTTTGAAAGCAGCTCCAAATTTTAATTTTTTTGATTTTTTTAAGGATGTAAATATTCATTATTATTAGCTGTCAATTTTTTTTTAAATAAGCCCTTCATATTTGATTCATCTGACAATGGACATGGATTGGATATTGTAATCTACTTAAGGAGATTATTAAGGATCTGTTTTTTAAGTAGCATTTTTTTATCTTATTTTTTTTATGCTTATTTGTCATGTTAATAAATCAATTGTTGAGGACATATTTAGTGCATGAGGTTTTTATCACTGTTATTAGATCGATATAATATAACACATGCTTCTCATTTTGAAGATTCATTGCAGCTTTCATAAGAATTTAATATTTTTGGGTAAATTCATTATAAGAATTCAATTTTTAATTGTTCTAAACTTTTCGTAATGGTCTTTCAGACTCTCTCTCACTCATATCATTGTCACATGGTCCATCAAACTCGAAATGTTTGGTAGATTTTCACATAATTGTGTGATTTGAAGAAGTTGAGTTTGTTGTGAAGGTAAAAATGTAGGGAAAGTTAAAAACAATAAATTAATTGGATCGTGAATTTGATAGTTTTGTACTTATGACCGCTGAAAGGATG